GGAAGGTCAAAGCTATTTTTACGATCAGCCTAGAGAAGCAATTATTATTTCCGTTCATCAGGTGTCATATTTTAAGCAAGGTGTGTTTGTTCCAGGGTCGACCTCGGCCCAAGGCTCAAAATTCAAACACAAACTTACCTCTCTAAATTTCCAGATTAAAGTGTCAGACTACAGTGGATCTTTGAGCTGTTGATAATGAGCAGTATCATATCGGCGAAGGGGTCGAATGACTGTGAGTTTCAAATCAACTCGATTAACGATTTATGCCAATTTATGAGAAAATGATCTAAACGTGTCTGCTCCATTTTAAATTTGAGTTTCAAAAAAAAATAGCCTGATGGAATTTAAGAAGGTCTTTCGTCTAAAGGGCATGCAAAATCCGAGGCACAAACATTTTTCGCGTTTGGTTTGGAGAAGCCGAAACCGTAAGTAACTATTTCTCAGTCTCCCGCTAGTCAGCCCGAGTACCATGACCCCACTCCACGCCCCCTGGTATGAAACTTGTTGAAAATGATCGATTAACTTATATTTAAAAAAGGCGCTAAATGCATTTAATACTTCCTGATCAAACTTACTCTGTCACAGCCTGTTGAAATGAGTTTCGTCCTTAAACGGAAAAAAGGTAATTTATCATGCATCTTGGTAGCCTTGATTGGATCAGGAAATGCAACTATGGAAAATTTGATTAAGCGACAAAATGCTTTTTTTTTCGCTTACTAAACCCGGATCAATATCAGTATGTGGGCAACTGCCCACCTACCCCTCCCCTAATCCAACATTAACCCTAACTTGTTATCAATTGACTGTTGTTGAGTTAGGGGAGGGGTAGGTGGGCACTTGCCCAGATACTGATGTTGATCCCTAAACCCTTTCGTGAACTCCGATAAAGCTTTCTCAGTCTGTCAGTGCCAGTTTTTCTTCATGTATTTCGTCTTTTTGAACTAGATGGAGAGACATTTTACAAATGATCTTTAAACTCAAGGAAAGATTTTAGATTCCTCAGCATACTAAAGATGAAGATTTTCTCTTTACTAGAATACTGCATCTTTGTGGAGTTTGAGTTTCATGTCTGATATAGCTTTTTCATAGTCACAACTTGATTAATTTCGTCTACAATTATTGGATCAGGATGCGACTAAGTAGGATTATTTTCATTAGAATAAAATATGCTTTGGAAAACGGCAAACAACTTAAACCAGGATCTTATTCTTTTTTTTTCCCCTTATTGAAATTTATCTCGATGTGATCCAAATAGAAACATACTTAGCGGTTTACAAAACTGTGGTTATTCATGATTCAAAATATTTACATATCGGAAAATCTCTCTGAGCAAACAGCTTTCCCTTTCTTCTACGAATGTGGGATGGCATACTGTTCTTGTATCGTATATGGCATTCAATCGAAACTAAAAGGGTTTAAAGAAAGGACGACGATTCGCTCTGGTGTTTCGAACAGATCATTTTCCCTCAGTTACACAGAATTTGTCTCATTCCAAAATGCTCAATCGATTGCGCCTTTTAGCTGCACTAAACGTAGGCGATAAACGCTTTTTTCAGGACACTATTCAGTCTCCTTTCTAATAGACAGTTTGTAGGGCACTCTCTGTGTCCTGCTGAGCTTGCGTGCTCTAAGACCAACGTGACAATTGGATGTTATTGAAAGCATTTACTTGCCTCCTGTGAAGTCTTGTGATTGTCTAGAAGAATAATTACCGTAAGAATAACCCAGTTTTACTTCGCGTGAATCGTAATTTTTTCCGCCGTGTATGTGTTTAAATAAATAGCAAACAAGAATTTCAAAGACCAAAGAAGCCGGTTTATGCTTTGAAGCGATGTTTAGTAATGATAAATGGTTTATAAACACACGGCGAGGGCGCAAGACTCTTTATAATGACTGGCCTTAATTTAATAATCAGTGCCAAGTCTGGTTCAGTTCAGGAAAAAAATGCGATAAAAAGTTACATGTTTACCGAAGGGTATGAGTTTTGCAGACCGCGCAAGAATTCGCCATATTGTATGAGCGGAAGGATTAACTAACGGAAGCTGTTTTTTTTTAGCCTAATCTTGTTTACCTGTCTCATAAGTGGTTATTATTTATGATTGTCACCGGTTTTACTTAAGACTTGTATTGTGCAATAGGCTGTAAATAAGCCTATTTACTCTCATTATCCAACTGCACAAAGTAGAGTACAAATAACGCGCGAATAGAGTGCAAACATCCTTGCGATACTGCCAGGTTATTTGGACAGTTAATTATTTTGTACTGTAAAAAAAACCTGTTTAACTAGTCGGCTGCGCGCGCTTGCTTAAGCAAGCGAAACAGCCGCGTGCTTCTCTATCCGCTTTGCTTTTCCCACCTTATGAGAAATGAGCAGAAAGAGTTTGTAGAAAAAAATATTTGGATAATAAATAACTCATTAGTCATTAGACGATTTGGTGTGTAGTATCGCTGAGTATCTTTACGAGTTGTTTGTATTTTGTCTCGTCAAAATACAGCACAACTCGTAAAAATAGTCAGTAATAATACACACCAAAACGTCTAATGAGATATGTGCGTTGAACCGGTTATGTGAGGTAGCTGGTGTTCAAGAACTAAAAGTTAAAACTACAGAGCTAAGGAGCTAAGAGTCAGGAACTTCTTGAAATAATTCTTTCCGATGGTAAGCAAACATTCAAGAAATGACAATAGTGAAAATTAAAAAGGAACACTGAAGCAATCTTCTAGCTCTTTAATCTCCTGTTTATTTGTTCAAGGTACAACAAAGTCATGTTCAACCGTGATCCTTAAATTAGCGCTATATAAACCTTTTTCGATGAAATACATCAACAGAGCCGAAATATTTCTGACTAGCTCTTTATAAATTTCCTGCATCAAGATATTCGTGCAGACACCAGCTCATACTGAAAAATTCTGCACGAATTTTCATAACAGGTCTTAAAGGCTTGAAGTAACATGACACTCCGAGACTAGTCCAAAGTCCATTAAGTTTTAGCACAAAAAAAAGAGAATGTCTTGTTCCTAAATTATTATGGCGTCAGATCTGAAATAGCAACAACTTGTTGCTTTCTCACACCTGACGCCATGGTAGTTAGCGCCGGGTTTGACTAAATACGCTTAAAAGAGCATAATTTTTTTTATCATCGAGCTCCTGTCGCAAGGCTATGATAACTTCAAGCTTCAACGCTTAGTCAGTGTTATGTTTTTCCAAGGCACCTCGGCCATTCGAGTCATAACCGTTAAGAAAGATTCAGAGACCGCGACTGTCACCCTTGTCGAAGCAATTTCAAAGCCTGACGCTTGTATAACACTAAAAAGCATTGGGGTCTTGTGCATCAGTTGTGAGCTTAGAAAGCGTCGACAACAACCACAAATCCAGCCAAAAATTGTTTCATGAGGAGTTTCAGAGTTCATGCGAACTTAATGGCGAATGACTTTACAGAATCGAAAGACACCGATCTTCACTCTATGTTCCCATTTCGCTAAGAATCAAGTCACATTTCAGGTTCCTTTAACAAAAATAAATTTCAAATCTACAAAAGCTTGCAAGATTCAGTCTACTCGCAGAACTGTGAGGATCTTCAAAGTGCACATTATCACGTGGATAGACGCTGTCAAAGGACGTCAAAAATGGAATTCAACAAGATATCTTATTGTCTAGTGAGAGTCCCGGGGAAGATTCATAATTGTATCATAACAGCTTGAGTAGTCCGAGGCTGGATTTCTTTTAACACTAGTGTCTCAGGAGTTTCTTCTGGAGTAGATAAACGCCAAGAGTTTTTGACAGGGAAATAATGGATTGGTTTCGAAGTTTTGGAGAAGAAAGTGGAACTTTCAGTTCAGTGACAGTTTTGGAATGGGAACTACAGAGATTAAGCGAGAACAATACGAAGACGTGGTAAACCGCGTTAGTCGAACCACAATAGAGAAGCAAGGAAACCACAGCGACAAAGAAGAGAAGCCAGAAGCTTGTCCTCAAACTTTCATCGCAAATGATGAGGAATTTTAGCATGCAAGGAAGTTGAACAGAATAACTTTTTTTAAGCAACCAACGTGACTACTATTAAGATTGTTTCGAACATTTCTTGCTGCCAAATACTTGCTAGGAATGTGCTATTGTCCCTTAAGGAACTGTCACTTAAAATGACGCTGAAGGAGTGACGTTTTGAAGTATCTAAGTATCAAACAATATTGTCATTTCAGCATGATTTAGAACCATTGTGTCCTGTTTGTGAGTTATTTGTTAGCGAGTCAATTTATTCTTACGGGAGTGGAATACCAACTCTTACCTGAAACAAAAACAAAACGCTTTGATATCCAATATAATCTCGAGAATTTCAATATTCGTGCATAAAAGCTGGTTGTACATGGTTGTACCTTACGAACAATGCATCACACTTGGCGTCGAGCGGACGTGTTCAAAATGATTACGTCTCAGACTGAGCGACGTTTTTCCGGTGCAAGTAATTAACAAGTTGGTCGTTTACTTAGATACGGCCTTACCACAAATTCCCTTTGTCTTATTGTTCATAGCATCCATCTGCAGCACGCATTCTGTCACAGATAATCTCTTTTGCCATTAAAAGGGCTTCAAAACAAGACCTCCCATTAATATTTAACCATTAAAATTGATGGTAAGAACGCGAGGGGTCGATCTGCCCATTTTGGGTTATAATTTCGAATTGTTCAACAAATGATGTGACGTCGATTTGATGCCAAACTTCTTTCCTCCCGTCGAATCGAAGCAATGGCAGGAAATTCATCACAAGCAGAATCATTTACTGCACAAACTTTGGTTCCAATTACGAACGTCAGTTTGTTGTTCACTGATGACAGTTCGTCCAGTCTAATCTGTTAATTGTTGCTAATCCCGGAAAGTTTTGGTAATTGAAACAAACTGCTGGCCAATAAAGGTTGGTATCATTACAATACAGATGTACCTCGGGGTCATAATTTGGCCTGCGGTGAAGGAGAGCAATTCTAAGGATAGGATCCATACTGAAAGTACACTTTTGGCAAATTTTTACATCGTTATGGCCCAGACTATACTCGAAGGTCAGTTGAATGCTTGGGTGATCTAGCCTGATAGATTTGAAATTTATCTCTCCTTGATATCAAAGGGTGGTTTTTCCCTCCTGCAAGTATCTTGTTGAAGTACTGCCTGTCTGTGGATTGGTCAGCATAAAAGAACTACAATGCGGGAGTGGATGTATTTTTTCCTGTTTTATCAGTCTTCACGGTGGAATTTCCGTAATTCAACCTCTTGTTCGTATGGAATATCTTTCTGAAGGCTTCGATTGTTCCGTGAACTATTTAACATTCGTGACAGTGGTGCAGAAGTGTTGAAGGCTCCAAGGCAAGAGAGTGATCACTGATGCCATGAAAAACTCAAACGACAAAAGTTGAAAAGAACGTCATCCAGGAGAGTCATTGTGGAATCATCTTGGGTCATTAGCTCAGGGTCGACTTGCTTCAGTGGACTTCAGAGAAGACATTGGGCTACTCAAGAACTTGGACTGAGAAGACTCCGTTCGAATGTGTAACCAAACACCTTGAACATATGTTCGCCTTTTAGCTCAAACTCTCAAGTCTGAAATTGCTGATAAACACTTATCTGACAGATGATGCGATAATTCTCAGTAATGAGTCTTCACTAATAGGGTCCATTAGAGAGTTGTTCTCTTCCCAAGCCGTTTTTCGAGACCGACGCAGTTTTCAGCATCGTCATTCGAAGGTATGGCCACCTAAATAAGTAACTTGCCACAGTGTTCGCAAATTTAAAGAGAAAAAAAAACGCTCATAACATTACTTGCATTCTTTCAACAAAGGTCTTTTCTCAGTAACTACAGCCTGCGAAACTGATACGATCTCGTGATGTTTGCTTTGGTTATTCCTGATTAGGAGTTTATCCCTCGTTCTCTTCCTTTGGACACGATGATGAAAGCAAACAATGGGTTCATCTCGTCTGTAAACAAATCCCTGAATTGCTTGTGTTTTTTTAATGCTAATCCCAAATCCGAGAGATTTTGTCGCAGTTCTCAAGACTTTCGTATTGAGCGGAAACCATGTCTCTTGCGATCTCGACAGGTTAAGAAGTGGAATAGGTATTTGGTACACAGTTGGTGAGAGTAACACAATTTACAACAACTTTAATACTAACAATCGTCCGTGAAGAATCTTACTAGTAATTTTGCTCGATTGACAAAGTTTTAAGTTAGGCAACCTCTCGTTCGAACAATCCAAATTCCACGAAAAGTGCAAATCTCTCTTTCTTTACAATAGAGTTTTTATGGAGGCCCTTTGAATAATGATTCGTTTAAATCCGCTTTACTCGGAGAAAGAAATTTAGTAAGCTTAAATATTTCATTAGGGGCGAAGTATTTCACCTAAGAAAAGTGAGGTATCTTGTTCTCTGAGTCGAATTCAACTGAAACGCTCATTTAATAGGTCTTTATTGTTCGTTCAGGCCCCATTAAAAAAAGAAAACCTACGAGTTATGGTCGACTTCAGTTTTCCGGTGGTTCAAAACTAAGATAGATTTACTCTTTAGAAAGAGTGTAAGAATCGTAAAAATAGGTTATTTTTGGTGATTCTTTTAAGCCTGACTCAGCCAGGCCTCATTGTCTTTTTGCCTACGTTCAGCTGGGTGGGCGTTAAAAACTGAACTCTTCCTGAATGACAACCGACTCCAAGAATAACTGCAATGATACAGCGTTTCTGCTGCGGCGATGACTATAGTAATTTAAATAAAAAATAATGAACTCTTTAAGCAAGTGCCAGACAAAAATCCGATCACGAATAGCTAGACTCTGAGGAATCCAGCTGATAAGCTATCCGTCTCATTTTAAGGTCAGCTCAGAAGGCTCGTTCAGTTGAGATAAACGAACTTGAGGTCAGTTTACCCCAAGTCTATCGAAAATTTGCTAGGTTTTTCGCCGGCGTGATACTCGAACAAAAATTACTGAAAAATTCACCGTGATTGTTGTTTTGCGTTGTGCGTAAAAGGTCTATAGACTATGCATTGTTCTCTAAGCCCGAAGTTTCTGCATTTCATTTGCGGTCGGCTGATACTCAATTTTTCTTTGTGTATTTCCAGTCAACTGCAGCGGATATCACTTAAATCACTCAAAGTTTTTACGAATGATGAATTCATTTTGAAATTATTGAATACACTTCTCCTCTTGTGAATGTTCGCTATTGGGCACAACTGAACTACTTGCAAACTGATAACGTCAATTACGATTACGGATGATGTCATCATGACTCACTCGTCCTCAGGCCTTGTCATTGTAATATCTTTAGTCAGCTGTCGTAACGAAGCGTGCGGAAAATTTTTCCCATATTTTGAAGACGCCTTTCTACCTCTATCAACTCGGATAATAAACAGTCAAATGGCGCAAATTTTGATTCTTTCCCGCCCACGTAAACAAATGAAAAGTTTACACAACGAACGATAGTAGACAATACGGAGCCAATGAGAGTGGAGCAAGCAAAGAGCAAGCTGCCTAAATTGCAGGAAACACTGGCTGGTCTAGTTATCAGGTGTTATATCGATGGTTTTCGCTTCCGTCATCTGATTGGTTGAGACGGAGTCGTGGGGTTTTTCATCGCTGAGTGCATTGAAGCGAAACCAATGCAATCCCGAGTGTCATTCAATTAAAAATTGACCAAACACGCGAGGCAAAAGCAGTTTTCTAGGATAGCAAAGCGTGTTCCTTGCAAAAGCAGACTTCATCTAGGAATGTGTAGAAATAGTTGCTGCTAAGTTTTGAAGGATAGAAGGAAACCAGGAAATTCCTTTTTTCTTTTATTTTGTTTTGTTTTGTTTTTAATTGCTATATCCAGGCTCTGCTTCATGGGCAAATCATCTTTTTTTCTACATCTTTTTTTCTACGGAGTGCAGTGATTCCTGTGAAGAGTGCAGTAATTTCATTTATGACAAGAAGTTAAAATTGACATTTCAATTGAGGCCGTACAATTGTGTCTCATTAAACCACAACCGAATTACTTACAACGACCAATCAGAACAAATTGAAGTAGAACTGAGAGCCAATCAAAACCTGAGTAGAAACAAGCAAAGTTCTTCAAGCGCGGGAAAGTGCGTGTGACCTTGTCTCGGTTCATTCTACCGTAAGCTGGAAACATGTCGATGGCGGCGAAATCGGTCGTAGCAAGCGATATTCGCGTGCGAATTTCGCCTTTTATGGCTCCTGGTAAAACGAACGATTCGGCTTTGTTTCCAGACTCCATGTTGAAACTCATGTAATTACAATCACCTCACGTTTTTCCGGAGTATTACGACGAGAATGCATCCAATATTACTAAGAAAAAAAAGCTACCCAATCCTTTAGCGAGAAAATCTCTTCCTATAATTTCACCATGAAACAAAATACCGAAGGAAACTTTCACTCTGGCAAAACAGGTATACTCCCAAATTGTCACATAATATAGAAACAGGTTCACATACGATCACCATCGACGTCTCACGTGCGTGATGCTGATTTAGCTGTCACGTTTCTGAGAAGAATGATTCCTTGAATGCATCCAATACTACAAAAAAAGGCTTTTCCTAATCCACCAGCCACCCAAACATCTTCCTTAAACATATGTTTGACGTGCCAGAAATTAATGGTGCCAATTTTCTGCCTCATTAGAAACAGGCGCAATTCTTAATTGTTACAATATGTAAAAAAGATGTTGCAAGTTCAAATTTTATCGCCGCTAGCTTCTCACGTGGGTTATTTGAACGCTTTGACATCCCTCACGTTTATGCGGAGTATTATTACCTGAATGCAACCAATATCACTCGAGGTTTATTTTATGCCCTTAATTGAGATGTTTTCACGTTTCCGTTCAATATTCAAAATATTGGCTCTTTTACACTTGCCCCCACTATAGGTACCAAAACATATATAACAATCCCTTGGGCTGCAATGTTGTTTAATGTATTTTATATCGTCCGTCAGCTTTCCATGTTTTCATTTCTGTTGGGCCAATAAAAAAATGAGGCATCCAAACCTGAGGCGTTCAGAGATACTTGTTAAGCGGTCTTCTCGTAACACGAACTAACTTGATGCGAGTTTAACTTGAGTTAGGTTCTTAATCAAGCTTGGCTCGCGTTGTTTTTCTGAATCGATCTTCTTATCAGTAAATCAAGATTCTCTTTCTTTAAGCTGTGCACATGACTTTTTTTTCAGTTTAAGATAAAAGTTACGCCGGACTTGAGATACATTCATCAAGTGCTTGGCCCACATATATAATTTTTTAAAAGTATCACGGATCGGTAAATTTATATCGCTCATCCTATCTCAGTTGTCAGTTAAGTGAAAATTCTTGCTACCCCACATTAAACCGCAGTTGTTTACAAAATTCGAGTTCCTGTCCTCAAATCTATTTTCGTCTGAAAGGTCCTTGAGATTGCTACCTATTTTCTTTCATATTTGTTACATTTTTATACAATACCTTTTAACGCAATTTTTAGTGGGATTAGCTTTCTTCGAACTTGGCCTGAGCCACACCTTAGCGAAACATGTTCTTGCTGAAAGTAAAAGTTTTCGAGCGCGTCGTCTCACTAAATTAAAGAAAATAATGATTAGAAAATCTCGAGTAAAACGAGTTCGCATTTAAAAAAAGCACTCTGAGAATCCCTCTCTGCATGATTTTCAGTTTACTTGAAGTGATTTTGGATGTGGAAGGATGAGAGCCATGAACGAATTCATGACATTTTTCATCAACTTAGACTAAAGCCAAATTCTTTCAAATAATGCGCTTGCAGGGAAACGTGAGAAAAGCGTGCAGCAATATTGGGTCGCAGTCACATTCGGCAAAATGTTTCGAGTGACTAGAGACCATTGAGAGAATCCCATTGGCAGCTGGCGTTTATAGCTTTTCAGTTTGATTCCCCGACACAATGCTTGTCAAATTGTCTAGTGACAGGGCGCTTGATATCGACATTGACATTGTAAACTGCAATCGCTGGACATTCTATTTGGGGGGTTAATCGGCGTTAAAATAAAGAGCTTTAGTGTTAGCCGTGTTTCACACTCGGTATGAAGTCTGGTCCGTACACCTTAGCAGATACGAAGACACAACATCTTTTCATTGAGTGTCTCTGACAGTAGTGGCAGTTTCTACCAAATACTTTATTCAATACGGAGGTGAGTTTCAGTTCCAACAAAAAAGTTCTCTATACAGTTTTCGTTCTTCAAAAGCATCTTCCAGACATTTCAACTGGCAGTTGCGTAATTTCGCCACCTGTTTTACTAGTGAAAATCTGAATCGTAATTTTAACTGTGGACTGAAAAACTTTCATTTTAAACTGTTTCTTGATTTGACCAACCTGACAAAGTGAGTGTCTTTCCTCTAATTGGTACAAATTTCAGAGTATGTAAATTAGATAACAATTGATCTGTGCTTTATCTAGCTGCGTTTCTAGACGGTGTGTTTCCTAAGAAAGAAAAATAAGAGCATTACGATGTTAAAGATACACTTTCCACATTTTTCCCCAAAGCTCCATCGATTACAAACAGCCTTTACGTTGAACCGATTTTACTCATCTTTGAAAAAAACATATGGTCAAAAGTTTCCAATTCTGCCCCCACACGAGGGTCCCCAGGATAAATGCAATTAGTTAATTTCTGCTGAAGAAAGTTGAATCATCAAGTTAAAGAGCTGGAAGAAAATTCTCTAGATATGCTTTCAGCTGGAACTAAAACGTAAAGTGGCCGGACAAAC